AACATGATGGGGTCTTTTTACCCTCACCATATCTCCAGGTTTGAATGTTGGTGTCTTGGCTCCACGGCGCTTGTCAGTGTATTGTTTAGACTTTTCTTGTTTCTGTTTAACTGTTTCTCGTACTGTAGTGCCAATCCTGAGATACTCCAGTTGTGTTATGTGGTGTTGCTCTGTAGTTCTGTAAGAAATCAGTCACTGTGGTTTTCCAGTCTTTCTGCATGTGTTCCGCGGTAAGTATTGTCTCCTTAAGAACTCTGTTCCATCTTTCAACAGCACCATTGCACTGTGGATGGTACACACTTGTACGAAGATGAGATATTCCCCTCTCTTTGAGAAAATCTGCAAAAGAGCTGGAAAGAAACTGTGGCCCATTATCAGTGACTATGTAATCAGGGTTCCCCTCTCTGCTGAAAATAGAGCGCAGGAATGTGATAACAACATCAGTCGTTACAGCATGAGCAAATGCTACTTCTGGCCATTTACTGTAATAGTCCACTAATGTTATAGCGAATCTACATGAAGAAGCAGCAGTTTCGAAGGGACCCACAATGTCCAGAGCAACTTTCTCCCATGGTCTGTTCAGCAGTTCAAAGGTTGTAGAGGAGCAGGAGCAGTCTGAGCAGATTTGTCGTTCATTTGGCACGTCGTACATGTAGAAATAACTGACTGAACCATCTTGTCCATCTGGGGCCACCAGTAGAGATCACAAAGTCTTTGTTTTGTGCGTACAACGCCTTGATGTGTTTCATGTGCCAGGTGAATGACAGTAGCACGTAAAGCAACAGGAACAATGTATCGATGTTCACCTCTCATGACCAGATCCTGAGATGCAGATCCTGAGATTCATGATGTGGAAGTATGGCATTAAGACAGGGTCCACATCCTTCTTGCATTTTGGCCAGCCTTTCTCTATCTGTCCACGGAGAAGTGTGAGTTCAGGGCATTGAGAGGAAGCAGAAGTGAACTCAGCAACAGACAGAGCTGACACCACAGCTGCAACCATGTCAGGTTCATCAATAAGGGTGGAGTCCATAGGAAGTGGTAGCCGTGACAAACAGTCTGCAGCCTGATTTTGTGATCCAGGCCTGTACTCCATATCATAGGTGAAGCACAGCAAACGCGCAGACCAGCGTGCGACCCTCATTCCAGCACGCCCAATGCCTTTAGTAGCAAGTAATGTCGTCAGTGCTTGATGATCAGTCCTTAGCGTGAAACGTCGGCCCCAGAGATAAGACCTCCACTTTTCCACGGCCCACACACAAGCAAGAGCCTCCTTTTCAACTGCGGAGTATTTCCGTTCTGCAGAGGTCAGCGTACGAGATGCAAACGCTACAGTTCGTTCAACATCATCTGGGTGTATTTGGGTCAACACACCACCCAGGCCATAATCTGAAGCGTCTGTGGTGACAATGGTTGGGAGGGATGGGTCAAAAAGAGCCAGAACCGGACTGTTCAGTAAAAGATCCTTTAAGTCCCTAAAGCTTTGATCAGCCCTTTCAGTCCATACGAAACCAGAGCCAGCAGCTTCCCCTAGCACAGCCCGCATTGGTTCCACTAATGTGGCAAAATTAGGGAGAAACTTGCTGTACCAGGAGATCAAACCAAGGAAGGAGCGCAGAGACTGTAGGTCATGTGGTGGTGGTGCATCACGTACAGCTGCACTATGAGCTGGATCAGGAAGGATGCCATCTTTGGAAATGATGTGACCAAGAAACTTGAGGCTGGACTG